CTCGAGCCGTAGCCTTCACTCGGTACTAAATTACCCGGCCAAAGGTAGATTAGCCCGAGCCCTTACAAACCACCTATTGAGCTCCAATAGGGGCGTACCACGTGGCACATAAATACAACAACAATAGCAAGTCTCCCAACACCTCCCACAATAATCAAACAAATTCATAATAATATTGCACAATTATACAATATTACAAAATTCATAATTTTCTCAATAATCACCCAATTAACATGAAGTAACACTAATCACAAATTAAAAGCATGGTTACCTTGTGGCTTTTTCAATAAATTATTCCTTAAAATTTCTCTCTCTCCACAATCTTCACCAGTAATACAATCTACAAATAACATATTATTTATAAATATTAGTTTCAATTTTTGAAACTAATAAAATAATTCTAATAATAGAATTAAAAATATAACATAATTCCTAATCTCAATCTTAATACAAATCTATAGTTAATACTATTAAGTAAAATTTTTAACTCCTCTTTTAATTATCAATAAACATTAATAATCTAAAAATCAAATTTTAAACTAATTTCTATTATCAAAATTTTCTTTTTATTTTATAAATTCGTACCTAAAATACCCAAAAATTAAAAATTGAGTCTCTAGCTTAGAATCATAATCCATAAGCCATAATTCAAAGATCATTAACAAATTTATACTATATAACATTTATTATACTACTGACAACCTCAAAAACCATATTTATTCAACATAAATTCATCCCTCTTTCAGATCTTAAATTTTCTACCACTACAAACTCAGAAACTAAAGAAGAAGGATGACTAAGAAAAATTTTTAGAACACTTACTTAGTCTTGAAAAGCTTAAAATCACACCCTAAATATCCTATTAAAAACTCTTACCTTAAAACCCAGCACCGGTGAATTTGGCTCACAGATGCTCTCTCTGCCGAAGCTCACGCACGAAAGAAGGAATGAAGAAATGAAGGAACAGGTGAGTTTTTATAAAAATTCAGTGGGTCCCACATTTTTTTTAATTATTTTCTCTCTCTTCTTCTTCTTTTCTTTTTATTATTATTTTATTATTGTTACTGTTGAGGCGGCGGACGAAGCAAGTTCACTTCTTCTTCTTCTTCCTTTCTTTTTCTTTCTTTCTTTTTATTATTATAATAATAATAATTTAATAATATTTTATTTTTTTATTTATTATTATTATTTTTTTATTTTATTATTTTTTTTTTCATACCTTTTTTTTTATAATAATAATTTAATAATACTTTTCAAAATTTTTATTAACCCAAATTAACTATTAAAATTTAAATTGGGATGTTACAATAAACACAATGATAATTGAGATATTTTATAAATAGAATTAAAACAAATATTTTTTTTGCCCTATAAATAAGATTAGAAAGGTATGTCATTCTATTAGAAACAATCATATTCACAGCGTGGTCAAATATCAAATGCACATACACTTTCTTAATAGAAATTTGAACATTAGTTCATTGAATCATAAATAACTAACTCCGTTAGCTATGCTCAATTCTTCTGCTCCCTCTAATATCTATTACAGGGTGCCTTGTGAAAAGATTATTTGATTTTAAATGTAAAGTACTTGATGAAATATTAATTATATTTTTTCAAATATTACTCCTATTTAAATTTATTGGCTATGGGAGATAATGTAATGTGAATTTAAATTTCATTAAATAGGGATAAAATTTAAAATTTATTATGGTTTTAGAAAAAAATAAATTAACTATTTTTTTAATTTCAATGAAGTATCTAGATGTATTTTACAATAAGGACTCGTGGGAGTAAATGATTTAAACGGAAGGGGGTGAGAAATGAAGAGGTAATCAGTGACCTAGTAACCTCATAAATTTACTTAATTATACTTATTTGAATTTTTTTGACGCACAATCTGATTTAAAAAGTCAATTATAAATATGGTTAGTGAACGTGGTTCAGTACTGGAAAGTCGGTGCTGCATCACTGTTGGCAAAGGAAGACGTGCTACTTTAACAATCACGATAATAATGAAGTCAATGACGACTTATTTTCCTTCTTTTTATTTTTTAATTTTTATTAAAGAATATTTCGAACAAAACCAGTCAAAAAAACCATTAAACGAGGAACAATTAAACAATACGAGCAACTACTAACTTTAACAACAATTGATTAAGCACTTTAATAGAGGTCAAAGTCAAACATACACACAAATGCATAGCAATACGACCATCCCTTATTTTTAAAATCAGTGCTCCAAAATAGCGACTATTCTATAGCCAGAGATCACATTAATTGGAGTCCTATAATGTAAGATTTGAATTTTCAAATTGAAGACAATAAATCTGGAAAATTAGTAAAGGCAAAGTGGAGAAGTCCGTCTGAACAAATGGATTGTACTAAATGACTTAGTCAAACTCAAGTTTAATATTTTTCCTATATACATAGTTATTTAGCTTTAAAAGAAGACAAGAGTAAGCTCAATCATGAGTTTCCTATAAGAAGTTTTGAATTTTTGGAGTAAGCCTAAATTTTAAGAAAAACTAAGTTAAAGTGAATCCAAGATTGGGCTTGAATTTTTGAGTCCTCCTTGTGTCTAATTAATTTTGATTGAAATCTAAGATAGCTTTTGTTACTGAATTTTGATTTCTAAGGTAAGGTTTTGGAACAATCATAAAAATCGACTTGACAATAGTGAATAATGAATTGTTAAAAACTTAAAAAGAATGCACTCCTGTAAAATTATTGAGAGGGAAAAAATGTAATTCTACTTATAGGGCACTTATAAATTTTTAATATTTCTCTTTTCATTTTTTACTCTTATGAAATGTTTTGAATAAAAATATTAATAATGAGATTTAAGAATATTTATTAAAAATAAAAATAAAAATTTGTTAAATTTTAAAATAAAATTAATGAAATTTAAGTTTGTTTTGTGGTACTTAATTATCATTATCCCAATAAAAAAATGGAAAATGTTGGATTTTCCCAATTCATGGGACCATTCCTTCCAGTTATGCGGTGCGCGTCTCCCAACTTTGAATTAACGTGGAAGTCCAATCCCTATCACTATCCTGTCGTGTCGGCCCTTACCAAATTCATGTGCTTATTTAACAACTATTTTTTAATTGTTTACAGGTTATTTGAGTACTATCATTTTTTTTGGCATGATATTCCTATTCATTTTAATACAAAATGTAAAAATTTCAATAAACTAGTAATTTATTCATAACTCTTAAATAATATGCATGGTTCATTCATTAGATTATATATATATATATATAATTTTATTTAAAACAATCAGGAATAGTGGGTGTATTAAACAATAATCACACTATGCTAGAGAACGCACACCACATTACATGACAAACAAAATGTTAATTGATGGTAACACCAAAATTTGCTTATTGTCATAAAAACACATTCTTTACTTGCTTATTATGACAAGCCTAACTAGCTTAGGTTTCCGATGGTTAGACTTTTAATGATATTCTGACAAAACTTAAACAACCATTATTTGTCACAAGTTAACCACACTTCTACAATTTTTAATAAAATAATAATATGATGTCATAAGTAAATTTTTATGTGTAAATAACAATAGAATTAAGACAATGAAAAAGTTATTTATTTCTATCTATGAGGTCAACAGAGAAGAGGTCTGAATACTGATCTTATACTGCTATCAGCAAAAGCTTTAGTGTGTATCACCCAACTTTGATTTACATGGAAATCTTTCTTCTTATTGAAAATAAGAGATCATAACCATGAAGACACAAACATGTTAAATATTTATATTTTGTATATATGTGGACTAAAAATTGTTTGGGTAAGTCAATGAAATTTAGGATACCATCAATCCGAATAGCATCCAAGTGGCAAATGCTTAAGGTGGTGATTAAACTAATTGTGTGGGCCTTTTTTTTGGTTTAAATACAATGTAATTTACTGTCGGTCTGTCTCTATCTTTTAATAAATTAAAAATATACCATGTCATGCTGGCACCTTTTTTAACCAAAAAAAAAATCATTATAATTGTATTTTTTTTACTGAAATTTCATAATGTTTATTATAAGGATAGAGTCAGTATTTAAAAATAAATGAGGACAAGATTAAAAAATATATATACCATAAAGCTTTCACAAATTTTATGAGGGACCAGAAGTATGTAACACCTATATAATTTAAAAAAATTTTAAAAAATTAAGGAGGTCTAATCCCCCTTCCTCTATGCGTAGAGTATAGTACTGTAATAATATTAAAAGTATATATGACTTTTTTTTATTTTTCCCCATTATGTTTTAAGACAAATTAATCACTTAATTCATATTCTTTTGATTCAGCCGTAATTTAATCCTTAAATTTTAACTTAATGTCTATAATTTAATTTAGTTATGACTCATTTTAAATTTTAACTTTCTACAACTCATTCTCAAAATCATAACTATTTAAAACATTAGTTTTTAAATTTTAATAATAACTTTATTAATTATAATTTTATTTATTAAAAATGTTAGTCCCTAACATTTTTAATAAATAAAATTATAGAAACTACATTGTAAAAGTATATGATTAGTTAACATTTTTAATAAATAAAATTATAGAAACTACATTGTAAAAGTATATGATTAGGAATTAATTTCAACTGAGTCAAACTTGAAGTGCAGTTAAAATTATAAGAATCAACTTATTAATATTTTATTTTTTTTATTTTAAAATTGAGTATATTTATTCATTTAAAAATATTAAAAATTGCGTGTAATAAATTTGTAGAACTTAGGGTTTCATGATATTTACCCTGAGGGGAAATCTATAGAACTGGGAATCATTAATCACCCAGGAAACCCTATAAAAAGTTTCAGATTTTCAGTGCATGTTGGCTCGTTTTCCTTTGTTTTTCCACTCACCTGCTTCTCCCTCTTCATCATTGAAGCGAAGAAACAAGAAAATAGAAATCCGGAACAGGGGACCACAGGGCATGATATTTTTTATTATATATAATCATTGACTAAGATTAGCCTGAGGCCCATCTCTGTTTACAGAACAAACACTATCGTGTTCCCTTTCTAGGATTTTGCCTCTTGTTCCTCCTCTGTGACTCGCACACCGCCATTGCTCTGTTAGCATTTCAAAACAGAGTGAGAAAGAGGAACTACTCGGTCACGTATAGCGGTACGCATTTCCATGCCCTCCTTCTCTTGTTTTTGTTTCTCCTCTACGTTGTTCTTTTGCTCTGTCATCTCCTTCTGTCATACCCAGATCTGATTATGCTCGTTGATGCTTCCATCCCCTCGCTGTTTCATCACAGATCTGATTTCTTTTTCCGGGTTCTCTGTTTTTTTCCCTCTGTTTTCTGTTTTCTTCTGCTTCTTCTTGTTTTTTTTTTTTTCAGTTTTCTATGTTTAGCTGCCATGAGCTCCGGTGAGCGTGGGATGCTCGTTAGATTTTTTTTTTTTAAAGAACACATGCTTGTTTATTTCTGAATCAGAGGAACTTGGATGCCAAAAAGCTCTGTTTGTGAACATCATAAGCAAATGATAAAATGATTCATAAGAAAGAAAAAACAGTTGCTTGGCAATAACTGAGCAATGGGCGATGAAAACCTTTCATACCTGTCAAGGAATTATTAAACGACGTTATGCCGTTTCACTCATAGTTTCCTTTTTTTCCGTATCTTCAATGTCATAATGGGGTGGCACTGTAAGATCTGGCCTGGCTTTGCCTTTGTTTTGTGACTTCTTCAACTTTTTTGGGGGGATGAAACAGTTCGGCTCGTATGGGCTCTCTCTGTAGCCAATGGCATGTGACAGCCATAAAGGCAAAACGACAAAGTGTCGGTGTGGTACGACATTGCATATTTACAGCTTGCCCATGTCGTTTTAATGTCGATGTCGTCAAGTAGTACCTACCAGCTGGAACTTATCATTCCCTCTCTTTTTTACTCTTTACTCGCTCTGATTCCCCCCCGACTGCGTCTGTCACGTGATTTTGTGTCTTGTCTCATTGATCTAATTGGTACTAACAAGTTCTGAGCTTCGTATTATTTGTCCACTGCTCTTTCTGGGTATTGATTTATGAACACAGAGTGGTCTTCTTGTTCTATGTTATTGTGCAATTTTTTTTTTCCTGGAAATTGAATCCACGCCATTTCTGCAGATGAAGCATAAAGATGGAAAACCGATCAACCTGCCAGACAAGAAGTCCAAGGTTGTCCCTACTGCAATCTTGCTTGTGCTGTGCGGGCTTAGCTTCTACCTGGGTGGATTCTATTGCTCTAATAAAGACAGTATCATCACCAACAACATTCAGAAGGCAATGATGATGAGTTCTGCAAAGGAATCCTCAGTAGCTCCTCTGCAAATCAAACCCATTATCTTTCCTGAATGCAACATTGATCATCAAGACTACACTCCATGCACAGATCCAAGGGTATTATTATTATTTATGCTATGAAGTGTTGTTTTTCTTGTTCACCAAGTGGTATTTACATGATGATGAAGCAAGCTTGCTTGGTTTTTTAGAGATGGAGGAAGTACGGTACCTATAGGCTAACCTTGTTGGAACGCCATTGTCCTGCAAAGTATGATAGGGAAGAATGCTTAGTTCCCCCTCCTGATGGGTACAAGCCTCCAATCAGATGGCCAAAGAGCAGAGATGAATGTTGGTACAGGTATATTTATGAGTCTATGCTTATGCTTTATGAGTTTAGTTAACGTTACTTAATGAGTTAGTTGGCCATCCTAACTGAGGTGAACATGAGATACGTGGGTAGGTGCACTGTCACCTCTTCGAATTCTAATTTTGCCAATTTCTTGGAGCCTAACTTTTTACTGGTTTCAGAAAAGTTGATTTATTGAGACATGTACAAACTGTTCTAGACAACGCTTGTTTACAATTTTAATAAAGACGGGTTATTCTGAGCTGCTGGTCATTTTTGGGCCAATTATAAATTTCAGGAACGTGCCGTATGATTGGATAAACAAGCAGAAATCAAATCAACATTGGCTGAAAAAGGAGGGAGAGAAATTCCTGTTTCCTGGTGGAGGTACTATGTTCCCCAATGGTGTTGGAGAATATGTTGATTTGATGAGAGATCTGATCCCAGAAATGAAAGATGGCACTGTCCGAACTGCCATTGATACTGGTTGTGGGGTGAGTTTCTTGTTAGTTTTGATGGCAGAGTTGAACTGTTAGACTTGACATAAACATAGGTTTTGTTATATGAACTAAATCCAATCCTGAGAACTCTGATTTTTATATCCAAGGTTGCTAGCTGGGGTGGTGACTTGTTGGATCGTGGGGTGCTCACAGTTTCTCTGGCCCCAAGAGATAACCATGAAGCTCAAGTTCAGTTCGCTCTTGAACGTGGCATCCCTGCAATTCTTGGCGTCCTTTCCACCCAGCGACTTCCTTTCCCTTCTAACTCCTTCGACATGGCTCACTGCTCAAGATGCCTCATTCCATGGACCGAATTCGGTAATTCTTACAAACCTTATCATCTACTAGAAATTATACACAATCTAGAATCTTCTGGTTTCAGTGGAAGGGGCTAATAATGCTTGAATCGACCCAGCACTTCGTTATGTTATTACAAGTACAAACACGAAAGTAACAGAGGCAAATGTAACATATGACAGTGTTGAGACGTATGTTTTCAGGTGGGATTTATCTGTTTGAGATTCATCGTATTCTGCGACCCGGAGGATTCTGGGTGCTGTCCGGTCCGCCGGTGAACTACGAGAGGAGGTGGAGGGGATGGAACACGACTGTGGAAGAGCAGAGATCGGACTATAACAAGCTTCAGGAACTGCTCACATCCTTGTGCTTCAAGCTGTACAACAAGAAGGAAGACATAGCAGTGTGGCAGAAAATACCAGATAACAAATGCTACGACAACCTAGGCCCAGAATCGTACCCACCAAAATGCGACGACGGCCTCGAACCTGACTCAGCCTGGTACACTCCTCTCCGTCCATGCGTGGTAGTTCCGGACCCCAAACTCAAGAAATCGAGCCTGGGCAAGGTTTCCCGGTGGCCTCAGCGTCTACACGTGGCGCCGGAGAGAATCACAGATGTGCCTAGCGGGTCTGCGAGCATGTTCTCGCACGATGATAGTAAGTGGAAGAAGAGGGTTCATCACTACAAGAAGTTGCTGCCGGAGCTCGGGACCGACAAGGTACGGAATGTGATGGACATGAACACTGTGTTCGGAGGTTTGGCGGCGGCTTTGATCGGCGATCCTGTGTGGTTCATGAATGTGGTCTCCTCGTATGCCACGAACACTCTCCCTGTGGTTTTTGATCGAGGCCTGATTGGAACCTTCCATGACTGGTAATCACCAAATGGTTTATATTGCACTGGTTAATAGTTATTTGTGCGAATAATGTGTCTGAGTTGTGGGTTGTTTCGCAGGTGCGAGGCATTTTCTACTTATCCCCGAACATATGACCTCCTTCATCTGGATGGGCTCTTCACTGCTGAAAGCCACAGGTGAGATTTTTGGATTTGTGTAAAATCCAAATTGGGTTTAGGCCCAGACCAGATTAAAAGCTTATTTGGGATGGGCTCAAGATTTCGCAATGATAACAGGCTTTAGCCGTTCGTTATCAACTCCCCTCCCTGGGAGATTAAACAATTTCATATTTTATTTTTAAAATTTAAATGAATTTTTTAAGATGAAAAATATAAAATTTTTAATATTTCCTTTTGAAATTTCTCAAGATTAAGGGATTGTTTGATTTTTATTTTAAAAAATAGTTTCTCTTTCTTAAAAAAATAAAAAAATTATTTGGATAAGTGTTTTGAATTTAAATGTTTTTAAAAATAGAAAATAAAAAAAATCTCAGAGCTGTTTTCTTTTTGTTTTTATTTTAAAAAAACACTAGATTCAATTGTTGTAAATTACTTTTAACTATGATCAACCACTATCTATTTTAGGTCACTTCTATTACTCACTGTCACTGCTATTATCAGCCAAGTTTTTTTACTCAAAATATTTTTAAATTAACATAACCAAATATTTTTGTTTTGTTTTGTTTTGAAAAATAGTGTTTAAAAATTAGTTTACAAAATAATGTTTTTTAAAAAAAGGGGGAAAAAAACAAACAAGCCCTAGGATTACATTAAACACCCTTATTTATATTATATAAACGCTTGACAAGACACTCTGCCGAAAGAAGACTAAGATTTCCATGAGATTGAACAAAGGGCGTGAAACTTATTTGCAGATGTGAGATGAAGTACGTGATGCTGGAGATGGACAGGATTCTGCGACCAGCTGGGCACGCAATCATCCGAGAATCAACTTATTTTGTAGACGCAATTGCCACAATGGCCGAGGGAATGCGTTGGCAGTGTCGTCAAGAAAACACCGAATACGACATTGAAACTGAGAAGATCTTGATTTGCCAGAAAACCCTCTGGTACGCTTCGTCCGGTGCTTGAAGACCAACCTGTGAGAAGAATTAGCTCCAGTCCTTCTCAGCATAGGGATTATTCATTTTTAAAAGGACACGTAAGAATGAGTCAGCTACAAGTTCATCAATGCAACAATATCTTGGTAACCCAAATAATCAACCAAGTTATAGGCAGATTTGTTCTAGTTTAGATATATATATATATATATTGTTATTCTTTATAGGCCAACAAAATGTATTGGCTATGTTATATGGCTTCCTCTTCTTCATCTCTTCTTCTTTGGCCTTTTCTTTTGTTGTTCTCTGTCTCTGTAACTGTGACTCCGCAAGTTGCTGCTTCCTTAAAGTGTACCCATCAAAAGCACAATGCTATTTCAATAGATATTCTTTCCACGGAATTCAACTTAACAATGCTAGCTGCTGCTGCTTTTGTCTTCATGATATATATCATTGTCCACAATAATCTGCAAAATATTATCACATCACAAGCTCTGAATACGAAAATTATCTTCTGGCCGGAAATTATCTACCTTCGTCCTTTATGTTATATACAATTATAAGGAATTAAAAGGCTTTACCAAATACGCACCTAGTGGTGTCAAAGGATCTTAATCACATTTAGAGCGTCGAAATCACCCGCTTATAAATATCGTTAAGAATACGAAGAGATTTTATCGGTTACTTTAAATCATACAGAAAGACAAATGCATTAACGTGTTAGATTAGTAATCAACTAACCAGACGTATCATGATCTTGATTTAAGGGTTCGAACCTTATTTGCCTTCTACAAAATATGTTCAATTTTAGATAAGAGCTTGGAGAGATAAAACCAGAAAAATATTCTATATGCACAGAGTTCTCTCCATTTACATAAATAAAGAATTAAATTCCCCATCACATATTTAAAGAATGAAATGGGATAATTATTGTGTCACATGGTTCAATTGATAGAACGTTGGTATAGAGGTCTATGTCACAATGTGGTGGGTCTTTGCAAAACGATAAGGTTGAATACGTAAGCCCAGACCTTATTGGGTATGAGAGAGATGATCCTTAAGTCGTAGCACTTTTTGGTTGTGGGGGGCACACATGGGGTGGGGCCGAAGAAAGGGACCACACCAATAATGTTGAGCCATGTGATCGATATCCAAAAACGTGCGTTTGTGTGAGGGCCTATTGATAATGTATGTGTATGTATATTCTTGTTAGTGTTGTTTGAATATTAACGCTTGTTCTAGTTGTTGGAAGTTATCCAAACAAGATACAGAAAATCGAACTGATTGAGGCAATAATTCAAGGGTCATTTGGTAACACTAGTTAAATTAATGCCAATATAATTATGATTAAATTATACAAAAATATTTTCATGTAATTTTAAAAAGAATAATATTTTAATATAAAATACATTAGTTCAAGAGAAGTAAATGAAACATTCATACACACAAACCATACAAAATCTTAAAAACACAGTTACGGAAGAAAAATATGACAAACTGCATATCATTTCAAGTTCAATAAAAAAAGAAAAAATATACAAAGGAAGAATGATATATAAATTCGAAAGGGATCAATTGATTCAAATTAAGATTCAATCAATTTCAAAATGTCAAATTTTAAAGATTTACAAATTTAACTCTTAATTTTATAATTTCATTGTAATGAATTTAAAATTTTTTTTAAATTTTAATATAGTCAAAGAATAAATAAATTTATTATTTCTGTTAAATTTAAAACATAAATTACAAATTCATCAAAAAAATTATAAAATTAAGAATTGAATTAGGAAATTCTTGAAATTTAATATTTTAAAATTGATTGAGATTTAATTTAAATTAATTAATTTTCTTAAAACTTATATAAAATCTAACCAAATAATCTGTCCAATATTCTTGAACGGATTGACTTTGAGACGGGTTTACCAAGGAATTGAAAGGTGAATATTCCACGCGGAGTACAACACGTTTGTGGAATGAAAAGCATGGAATTATGGAAAGGCTTCAAATAGGATGAATGCGTGAGAAGATCGAAATCAAGCCATATTATGGCCCACGCGTTCTCTCCGAGTGCTCTTTTCGCCTGTTTTTGGTACTCCCCAGCTTGTACTGCACCATCAATATTCAACATTTTTAATATATAATATATGTTTGTATGAAAACAACTAAAATAAAAAACAATGTGACGGGTTCGACCTTTTAATTAATCACTAGCTAGCTTTCGTAATTTAACCAGTGAAAGTAAAGATTTTGGCTCTTGTTTGTAGTTTGGATGTTGATGGTTTTGTATTTCAATTATTCTTTGGGGGAACCGAGGGCGGTGTAATTTAATTAGAAAAGCATAACATAACATCGATGTGATATATTATATGAGCATCCAGAAGTGGGGGAAAGTGGGCCCATGCCATGGCATGTGCTCACAGCGCACTTAATTCCACCATTTGTGGTGCAAGCTTGTGTCCGTTTTTGGACGCTTTGCTTCTGTCTTCTAATACTTTCCTCACATTCTCTTGCTCATGGTTTTAATTTTATGATGAATACCCCCTGATGTGAAACATGAATTAGGAGAGGGGAAGAGAGAGAAGGAAGGAGGAAGAGATGACCATATAATTCTTATTTAAACGTAACACAATTGAAAAAACTCTACACCACTAAAAAAAATAAAATTTAATATCCCTCGTTGAATGATAGTTTTTTTTCATTAAATTCATAATTAAAAAGTGACTCGTTAAATTTAGTGAAAGATCATATCTTCCTTGCTAATTAGTGAGTTAATATTATTCAAAATTTGATAGTTTTAATGAAGGATCAATTTTATAGTAAATATACTTATATTTAAAAATAATGATACTACATCACCTGCTATATGTGCATTAACTTGTAACATGTCGCCAACAACCTCGTGCCTCCTCAATCGCCATGCCACCTACCAATGGCAAAGCTAAAATCCTGGGTCAGGGGCAATGACGGAGTTAGGATTTTCGATAAAAGGAAGACAGTTTTGTCTCTTCTAAATCAACTATTTCTCTTTTCTTCTTTCTTTGTTCCCTATTCAGCTTTCAATTGTAGATTTGTAAGTGCAACAAACTAATAAAAAACATTTACCTAATTTACTCTTGAGTTTTGAATCTTCATTATTTATCATTGCTTTTTTTTTAGCTAGTTCCTAAGTAGTATTTAAGATGAGGAGTGAGAGTGAATCTATTTAGTCATATTATTTTTTTTTTATTTTTTAAATAATTAATAAATAATATTGATACTTAGGTATAGTGAAATTGTGGGTTAATATTCATGAGGGTAAGTTAAAAATTTGAATAGATCTGAGCTAAAAAAATAAGATTGAAATGAGTTTAAAATTTAAAATATAAAAATAAAGGGATGTAAAGTATAATAAGTAAAAGGTGCAAATTATAAACTATAAAAATATATACTCTCAAACATGTCATTTTTCCCAGGTAAGGGGGGCATATGCCCCCCTCAATTACAGGTGGCTCCGCCACTGTCACCTACCATCTTATGTTTCATCACCCAACACGTGTGTAACAACTTATGACATATCGTCATTCATCTATCATCATGTTATTTGCTTCTTGTCATATTACATATTCATTATGTTTATGTCAAGGCCAAAACTTAAACCTTTAATCTCTTATTTTTCAAGCCTTATGCTCTCTTTCTTTACCGGTTAAACTAAAAGGTGCCTACAATCATTATATAAGAAATTAAATATATATTATTTAACTATACAAATATATCAAATAATATATTATAAAAATACAAATATATATTTAATTTTATTTTCAATTATATGTTAAAAATATTTATATTTTATTAATGAAAATGAACTTAAAATAAAAAAAATATTAAATATTAAATAATTTTATTATAAATATTTTAGTTAATTTTTAAATGAAAATAATTCAATATATAACTAAAAGTCATCGTCAAAAGTTAATTTTTTTTCAGCAATTAGGTATGAATAGAATCCCTCACTAAATTCCTTGAGGGATTGGAGTCTCTCGCTATTTTTTTTCACTAATTTTAAGTCGAGCTATGAAATTTATATCTTTTGCTAATTTCCTTGCTAATTTGATATTTTAGAGAGGAGTAGATAATTCCTCGCTAAATTTTCTCACTAATTTGGTTTTTTCTAGTAGTGCTAGGACTATTCATATAGCCCTAGAAATAATAAAATAATGCACCATCTGTCGTAAATTATAAGACTAATAAATTTCATTAAATACACTTAACAATATTATATTTTTAAAATAAAAATATAAACTTTTAAAAATATCAATCATTTAATATACTGAAATTAGAAAGGACGAAAATTAATATATAAAGAAAAAAGATAATATTGTAATTAGTATATTTAATAAAATTTTAATATATTCAAAATGTCTTATATTTTAGGATGATGAAATAACTTCAAAAATGCCTCATAATTTAGGACGGAGAGAGTAATAAATCTAAATTAAATTATAATTTAAAATATGATGATAAGGTGTCTAGTTAGTCTAAATATCTTATTTTATTTGAGATAGAACTTAAATATAAAATAAATGTAAAATATTAAAAAAATAATATCAATCCCTAAATACTAAATCAAATCTTAATAAATTCTAAATCAAATCAAATATAATTTCCATCAATCCCCTCATCGTCCTCATCATTGGCATGATTCGCCCACGTCCCTTTATCATTGAATATTATTCTCATATATTTAGGTTTATATGTTTCATTTTTATTCTTTATATATATATATATATATATCTCTCATCCATTGAACTTGTTAACATGCATACAATATATTAAATTAAGTATAATCAAAATTTGATAAGTATGTACATATGGACTTGAGTACTCTCTACACACTCTTCCAATATATCTCCCTTTATTCAATCTCATTCATTCATTTAATTATTTAGTTGCTTGAATGGTGTAAAGTTACTAATCATATATAGAATAAAAATAAATATATTATTCATTTAATCACTGTATCAAAGAAGTGATATGATTTAAAAAAAAAAAAAACACTGAGGGTCCTTTTCGATGCTTAGATATTTGGATTTAAAAATATTTGAATTTGAACTTGATCCAAATACAAATTTATATTTTATTATAAATTTTTTATAATTTTAAATTTACTCTAAATCCTAATTACTTAAAATTTTAACTATTTTTTTACCAACTAAATTTCAATTTTCAACCCTCTTACTTTTTTTTTCACATTTTTGCAATCAAGATCCTTGTTATCCTCATCACTTGTCTCATTTCTCGTTATAGTTTTTCACTAATTAAAGAATAAATATAAGCTCGTCATTTCTAATCTTCTGTTTATGCTTTGAATTTCAACTTTTCTCTCTTAAACCTTTAAAATTTTGTATAGTATCTAACAACAATTTTAAACATACGAATTTTAAGTTAAATGTGAAATCTAAAATTTAAAATTTAAAATTTAAATGTAAATCCATCAATCTAAATGCTAATTTAACTAATAATAATAATTATAAAGCCATTACATCAAATGGACAATTAAATTGACAAATATGATTGAGTATAGAAATGTGTATATACTAAAAATTTCGTCAGCCTGACTTCTTAAAGTAATAAATAATTAAACCAGTAGCTTAACTAGATAGTCTAGTAAAATTTTTTGTTGATAACCAATCAAACTAGTGCTCAATCAAATTTTTGACTAGCATTAATTATTGAATCAGTGTCTTGATATGTTGAATGCCAATATTACGACTTTCTGTACTTGATGAAGAGGATTTAAATCCCAGTTTTCACTTGCATTTCATGAAGTCAATTTAGTGTCCATTCCCGAGTTCCCCACACCCCGGCCCCACCCCCCCCCCCCAAAAAAAAAAAAAAGACGAGGAACTCACCCACGTGGTTTAAATTGGAACTTAATTAAGAAAATGTAATAACAGTGATTGGTTAAAGTCGAATGAGTAGGACCAAAGGTAAAAGCATGTTCCAGTCTTTAAATAGGCCTGCACGCACTGCACTGCACAGATATCGATATATCATCACCACCATTTGAGGACTAGAAGCAGTCTTCAGGCTCACCCCTTTTGTTCGAAAAAATAAGTCTTCAGAGTCACCCCCTTGCCCCCATTTTCCAAGCCCTCTCTGATCGATATCCATGGATAAACCAAAGACCGATCAGGTCGTCCTCTTCATCGACCACCTCAACACTGGTCATCCCTCCATGGAAACTCATCAGAACAACATAAACAATGACACCACCACCACCACCAACAAGCCCAAACTCACTTCCAGAGTCAAGACGCTCAATCGCCTGAGCTTCTCCAAACCCAAATCTCGCATCCAAGAACACTACCACCCACTCTACACCCAATTCACCGTCTCCGAAGAAGCCGAAGACATTGCCGGCCGGTATTCTTCCACCGACGACGAATGGAACGAAGACGACGATGAAGAAGAAGATCAGGTGGAGGAGGACGGCCCAAAGTCCCACGAGAAAACCAAACGTCGTCGTCGGAAGATTCAGTGGAAGCGCGTGGTTGAGTGGGCGTTGTTCCTCATCATATTAACCAGCTTGGTCTCTTGTCTCACCATTCCCTCCATCAAAACGAAGTATTCGTGGGGTTTGGAGATTTGGAAATGGTGCTTGATGGGGATGGTAACCTTCAGTGGACGCTTAGTCTCTGGTTGGCTCGTAGCTGTGTCCGTATTCATCATAGAGAGAAACTTCATGCTCAGAGAAAAGGTCTTATACTTCATCTACGGTCTCAGGAAAAGCATCAGAAACTGCATATGGCTAGGCCTCGTGTTATTCTCGTACTGGACCGTCGTCTTCGACAACGTCCAGAAGAAAAATCACAAGTTCCTCAACAAGGTGTTTCAGGCCCTTGTGGCCGTCCTCGTCGGAGCCATAATCTGGCTCGTCAAGATTGTGCTGGTGAAAATGCTAGCCTCATCGTTCCACGTCGCGACCTACTTCGACAGAATGAAAGAGAGCGTGTTCCATCACTACATACTGGACACACTCTCTGGGCCTCCCTTGGAGGAGAACGATGAAACGACGTCGCAGCATACTCTGACGGGGTCCAAGTCCATGCCGGCGAACTGGAAGGGAAGGAATAAGGCGATAAAGGAGGCGAAGAACTTGCACAAGTCGAAGAAGTTTGGGTCGAGGAAGATTGATATGGACAAGCTGAGAGAGCTGAGTATGAAGAGCACGGCGTCGGCGTGGAGTGTGAAGAGACTGGTGAACTACGTGAAGTCGTCGGGCTTGTCGACGATTTCCCGGACGATCGACGATTTCGGGAACGCCGAGTCTGAGATTTGCAGCGAGTGGGAAGCTCGGAATTGTGCTCAGAGGATTTTCAAGAACGTTGCTAAACCTGGTGCCAAGTAAGTGTACTGTGTATTATTTGTCTCTTTAAGTTTAATTAATTAATTATTAGATTTTAGGTCGTCGATATGCTTAAATAGATAACTTAGCTTTCAATTGATTAAACGTACCTGCTTGCCCTTGAAATAAAATGTTGTCGTTCACATGATAATTAGACTATAATTAGACCGATACACACAATTTAAACAATTCTCATAGCAGCCTCTCAGGTTAACTATTTAATTAGCTTCCATACACTTTTTTCCATGGGTTGAATGACATCATATATCAGAAAAGATAAGAAGAACGTTAATTTCTTCTGGTTTAGATTTAAATCTAAATTGTTTAAATTATCTATCCTTTAAATTAATCATCTCAAACTTTTTTTTAAGGAAATCTTCTCAAACTTTCAATGATGTCTTCACATATAGCAGTGTCTTTTGGGGCCCCTATATCACGTTTTCATTAAGCTGGCCGATCTGAAAAAAAAAAAAAAAGGAAGAAACTTTTTATGCTGTGAGAACATCTAGTAACAGAACCCAATAATTATTTATGCTATGGATTGAGAGTTCATTTGTCAATAGCTTTAATATCTTTAATTTACACTTCTATTTTTTATAGTTGATTTTCATTAAATCAATTATTTTTTAATTTAAAAATAACATAACTACGCACCTTAGTCTTCCAGACCAAATTTTATAAAATTTAAATAATTATAAACATCCAATCAAATAATTTTTGAAGTATTATTGTGTTAAATATATTGTATTTTACTTTCTCAATATATATACACGAGAGGTTAACAATTCTAGATTAATGACAAATTTTGTGAAAATACATTACCATGATATATAAAAGATCTCTTAATCCATAAGATCTCATGAAATGAATTTTGCTTGTCAGTAATGTTGATTAATGCTTTATACATATATATGAAGAAATTATAACATGCGACTGTACACTAAAAATGTATGGTCCTCCTCATAGTAACTCTGCCACTAAAAAGAACGTGATAAAATTCAATATCTTTTAGTAGAGCTGAAAATTTGGGCCGGCTGAGTCTATTCGGGCTTGGCTCGAATAAACCCAACTCGAATAGGCTCGAACCCGAATAAGCCCGACTCTTCAAAAGGCTCGAATAACTAAGCCTGGCCTGAATTCCTTAGAGCGGCTCAAATATCTGAATTTTATTTTTAAAATTATTTTTAATTAAATTTTTTACTTTAAAATTAATTATTTTATTTACAAAAAAATACTTAAATGATGTATAAACTCAAATATATGGTATTTTAATATAAAATGACCTCAAACTTAAATAATTAATTAATATTTATTATTTTTATATATTTTGTAAAAATAAAAAATATTTGGGTGTTCGGGCCAAGTTCGAACTCGATCGGGCTTGGCCCGAATTTCCTCAGGCCTCTTCAGAGCCCGAATAGACCTAAATATAAAAATATCATAATTTTTTTAAACTCTGCCTTAATTTTTTTCGGGCAGCTTCAAGCTAAACCGTCGGGCTCAACTTGAATTACCGGCTCTACCTCTTACGCATGCACAAGGACCACTGAGATGTAACTTAATGACGCGCGAGCGCGCGTGGTTTAAAGAATATTCGTGTGAACCAGCTGCATTCACAGGGATCAAAACAATATCCCCTAGCCCACTTCAGATTTTGATTCAGGCACAGGTGCTTCATGAAACGACACCTTGTGAGACTTTTGAAGAGTTAGGTTGCTTTGGGGTCCTTTTAATTATACAATCCTCTCTTTTTCTTGACCAACAACAATCCTCTCAAATAGCAACCTTAGTTGCTCTGTGGTCCTTCCTCATTGATGCTGCTTCTGCACCAAACGACAGCCATTTATTATGTAGTATGACGTTAATATGTGGTAGCCAGGTAGCCAAGCAGCCATCACCAGACTCTTCAACGGAAGCTTCAATTCGATCTAGCTGACCCCATTAGCCTCTCCTTCATTTGGGTTCATAGCAGTGTACACTATTCCCTGATGGGCTCTAAGGGCCACAGGCCACAGTACAATCATCGTTACGTTTTGTATTGTCGCAATAAGTCCAGCTGCTCCATTATCTTGGCCCCACCACGAAAACACTGTGCCATATATATCAAATATTCTCTCCACTATTTAGCAAGATGGAGAGCATGCATGAAGTGGATCAAAATACTACTCAAAACATGATCAAACCCTATCCTATGGCTTTATTAGTCTCTGTCTATGATTGTTCCACTCCAACGTAACTGGGCCTTCCATGGCTTTTAATCTGGGTCACATGCTGCTTAATATTATCATCTTTAATTTGGTAAAGATTATGGTGGTCACCACTCTCTACACTGTAAGTTGAACAAGCTTTAGAGACACACAAATAAACGTATCTATCTTACGTTCCCAGATGGGAGAAGTCGATATGCTAACCACCAAGACCATATATATATATATATATATTCCTGGTTTTCTAAATTGTAAACAACATATATAACTGACTTTTTATTGACACAATGAGTGGCATCTGATTCATATTTATATAATTTTATTGAAGGTATATTGAGGAGGAGGATCTCATGAGATTTTTGAAGAGAGTTGAGGTTCATACTATATTCCCACTCTTTGAAGGTGCCCTCGAAACTGGAAAGATCTCCAGGTCTTCCTTTAGAAATTGGGTGGTAAGTTTTTATTAATTGCAAAATTCCCCAGTTCAATGATCCGTTTCTTTGCCAGCTTAATCAATATATATAAGATATCTTTTTGCAGTACAATACTTAATAATTAACAAATGAATATGCGTGGATGATCAGATTCGAGCTTATTATGAAAGAAAGGCTCTAGCACAATCACTGAATGACACAAAAACAGCAGTGCAACAGCTTCACAAGATAGCCAGCTCAATAGTGACAGTGATAATAATCGTAGTTCTCCTTTTGGTGATGGAGCTGGCTACAATCAAAGTGATACTTTTCGTCATTACACAGATAGTTCTGGTCGGGGTTGCCTTCCAAGGTACCTGCAAGACTGTGTTGGAGGCCATCATCTTCGTCTTTGTCATGCACCCTTTTGACATTGGAGATCGCTGCGTCATTGATGATGTTCACGTACGAAATTCTCAACTTGAAAAATGCCCACGTCGCACCTTAATTACTAAGTTTAATAGTCTTGTATTATATATACTTCTACTGATGAACAGATGACTGTGGAAGAGATGAATATCTTGACGACTGTGTTTCTTCGATACGACAATGAGAAAATCTACTACCCCAACGCAGTTTTGCTCAACAAGCCAATAAGCAATTTCTATAGGAGTCCAGAGATGTGGGATTCTATTGATTTCGTTGTTGATGTTTCAACTCCTATGGAGACCATCATTTCACTCAAGAAAGCAATTCAAACGTAAGAACATGTTTCTCTTCATCTTTCTTCTCACGTCCCTATATATGCTACGTTAAACAGTCCTATGATCGTACTATGATTAAGTTTTAACGACTATATATATATATACAGGTACATAGAGAGCAAGCCCAAGTACTGGAATCCAAAGCACGCAGTGATAGCCAAAGAGATAGAGAATGTGGATAAGCTGAAGCTGTGTCTGTGTGTTCAACATACTATCAACCATCAGAACTACGGGGAACGAAACAATCGGATCACAGAGCTTTTGCTAGAGCTGAAGAAGATCTTTGAGGTACATGGAGTCAAGTACAATCTTCTGCCTCAGGAAGTCCACATTACCAAGATGAACAGTACCGGAAATGGGAGACCTGTGTTGTAATCACACTAAACCACAATTACTGGCTTAGTTTTAATTAACTAGTCCATGCATGAGAGATCTCTTACTCTGAATTTTCAAATGAAGTTCAGGTGCTTCATGACTTTGTACCAAGTTTTGTGGTTCGCATTACGTATCAAAATTGTCTTCTTTTGAGTTTAGCCAACTGGACCACTCATCAGCATTCTGTGTCTTTGGAAAGCCCATCAGTGTTTTTGGGATTAAAATCTAGCTACTCTCTCTCTGTGTTCAACAACAGAAGGCACAGGTTCAGTAGTCTTCTCAATGCTGCCTAATGAAAAACAGGTAAAAGAAGGATTTGGATGGTTAAAACATTTAGAACTTTTTATATATGTCTATTGTTAGAATAAATTCAATCCTTCTTCCTTGAGCAATGCACCAAGTATCCTATGAGTAGAGTCTAGAAATTAGAGGACCCATATAAAAGTATAATCCTATCATTGCATTAAATCCATCATATTGCAACTAATCTCACATCGACCTGCATGAAGAGAAAAGAAGCGAAAAGAGAGAGGATCAAGAAGGGGGATGAATATAATTATTTTCCTATTTGGATAGGAAGGAATAAAAGGAATATTGAGAGAAAAGTGGAGGAAAAAAAGATGTATGAGGCCTCGTGTATTTTTTTCCTAAAGTTTTCTCGTAAGGAGATTTTAGAGTAGAAAAATGTGGCTTCTACAATCACCTAAAGACTACAACGCACTAAGTATGCTGCTCACATATTTTCCATATAGATATTATTCTCATGTTTTCTATGCCTTTTTTTTCTATTTTTTTCCATTTTATCTTATATTTTCCTTCTCCTCATCCAATATGTGATTATACAATAATGATTAACAGCAACAATTAACGATTAACAATAATAACAATATATAAAGATACATAATTAATTATTAGTTCTAATTGAGATTATAACATGCGTAAAAAATAAATTTAATAATTGAGTTGATAATAACAAAAATATTTTTAAATTTACATTTTTTTATCTAATAAAAAATATAAAAAATTAAAATGCAATAGAAACCAAATATAACAAGAAAATGATAGGACATGAGAAAATAGATACATAACCCAAAAAAAAAAAAAACGCCAAAGATTGTGGAGGAAAGATCAATTTGAGTACGCAGACAAAGATGATGAAAAGTGGGAATAGCTTGAAGTGGGAGAAAAGAAAGAGGTGACATGGTGGCGTGCGAGATGGCCTCCCACCTAAGAGCCGTACTCTGACACGTGGCACCCCCTCTTTGCCTCTATCTTCACGCCACCCCATCCTCCGCCTCTATCTGCACGCATTATCTTTTGTCCGGATGGAGAAAAAATATAAAGAAAATAGAAAATTAAGAGAGAAAAAATATTTTTTTAATTTGGACAAGAAAAAAAATAATAATAAAATTTCTCTAAATGATAATTTAATATTTTAAAATATTATAATTTTTTAAAAAATTTTAAAAATTTTTCTTTCATTAATAAATTTATATAAATTATTAAATTATTTTTATTGAAAATAAATAATTATTAATTTTATTTATATATTTATAAATTTTTTATATATTATAGAAATTATTAAAAGGTAATTTGATAATTAAATAAATTTATTAATGATAAAAAAGTTTTTAAAAATTTTAAATTAAATTATTAATTATATTTTTTTAAAAAAATTTATTATTATTTTTTAAAAAAATGAGAAAAAAAAAGTGTAAAATTCATTACATTTTTTCTCAAGTTTTCCCTTCACTTGTGAAGAGATTTTGAGGATAAAACTTTCTTTCTCGCTCCGCCCTCCTCTTGTTCTGTGGCTTTTGCCATCATCTTCTTGTGCAGACTTCCTTTTATTTAATTAGATCCGTGCCTGGAAAAAGATGCATAAGAATATATTTGAATCCCCAAATAAAAAACTACAAATAATACGACAAGGACGTTGGAGCTCGAAAAACATAAAATAAAAGAAGAATGAGAGTTAGATTTTAAAACACAAAATTAATATTAATTAAGTTCTCAATAAATTTTTTTAAAAAAATAAATTAAAAAATTCAATTTAAATTATTACAAATTTAAGAATTTTAATTATAAATAAGCATTTAACTATCAAATATAATTTTTAGATTATAACAAAAAACTTTATTTGTAATTATTTAAATTGATATTTATAATTTATTTTGTGAGAAAATTTATTAAGAATCTAATTGTCACTAATTCATTTATTTAAAACCTAACTATCATTCTCTCAAAACAAAATATTGGTATTTGACTGAGATTGTGTGTATGTTGGAATATATATGTTGGGACATTTGGGTTAGTTGGTATAGTGTTTTAGTTGACTTAGACCATGTGTGTATTCTCAATGATGGTGGCTTTAATTTGATTAGAGCTTGTATTAATAGAGACTTAGTTAATAATTGCTCCTCATTGAGAACAATGAGAATTGGAAAGGATCAAGGACAACTTTATAATGTAGACTGCTTTCAACTCTATGTTGATGGCTTTGCTAGAGAGAATGGGAGTGATGTGGTGGAATCTTGCAAGACATGCATAATAATTGAATTTATGGATTTAGTTGCCGATTTGCTCTGATTCCTCCCGCTATAGTTGAGCTCATTGATATCATACAAAGTCTACACCAGTGTTAGGTAAGGAGAATCTACCATGTTGAAGTTTTCTCTGATTGCAATGAGGCCATGAAGTTGGTTTTGAACAGGTGCAATTATGACTATTCTTTTTAAAACTTGGTTGAAGAAGCTAGAGTTTTCTTCTACGGAGAAGATAGAAATATTTTTTATCACATTCATAGAAACAAAAATAGGCATGCAGATTTTCTTGCTAGATTATTACACATTTTGAACAATAGTTTTTGCCCTTTTAATCATCATCAATTTCATAGTATTAGACATGGAGGATAATGAAAGAGCTTGTTTTTTATTTGTTTTTTTGTTAGCTGTTTTGTACTTTGTTTAGTTGTTTACTATTGATATCTAGTTTTATTTTTTTAAAAAAATCTTACAGTAAACTTCAAAAACTCAAAACATTTTTTTTCTAAAAATGATAAATAAAAAAATTTTAAATTTTTTTAAATAGACAAATAATATGAAATTATGCAATTTTAAATTTTAAATAAAAATCATACTTGTTAAATTATTTAGTTTTAAAATATTATAACATGAAATATATTCAATACTTTGATTTTAAATTATTTTGATAATGTTAATTTTAATATACTTCAAATTATTTTTGTAAAGATAAAAATAAGGGTATTATAATCATACATATAGGTATTATAATCATTGTGATATTTATTCATTTTTTTCTTTCTGTTTTTTCTTGTCCATTCAAATTTAAGGAGTGGTAATATTTTCTTTTTAATTTTCTCTTTCCTTCATTTTCTTTCCTCTCATTTTTTTATTCTAACTTTTCTTTCCATCCAAAAAAGTTTTTACTAAAAGAAATTATAATGGCTGAAGTACGAGATTTAAAGTTTGAATCAACATATTTAAGATAACTTCTTTCAATTTAGCTCGACCAACGGCGGAGCAATGTTACAACGATGGTGGGCAAGTCACAAATGCATTCCCACGTTTGGGTAAGAATTACAGTTAAGGTATGTAAATTTTGTAGTTTAATTTGCACCCTTTATTCTTAGTGTTTTGTAACTTTGAACTAAATAAAAAATATTTGAATTTAAAATCTTATTAAATATGTAATATTTTAATAATTAAGATAGGATATAATATGAAGAATATATTTATAAACTACATTAACATGTTTAATATAATTTTATAAAAAAGAAATGATGATAAATCTGCCAATGTTATCACAATTTTAGCCATAGTATAATTATTATATTTGATTATTTAAATTATTATTTTTCAAAAATTTATTAATTTTTAAATTAAATTATCTTGCACCTCTTGGCTTCGTCGACAATACTCAAATTTGACCAATCAAATAACAGTACAAGCTAAAAATGAATAATTAATCTCAAAATCATTTTGTTGCAGTGGTTTAGGTTCTGAATGATTTTGCATTTGCTTAGCTTGATGTCCTTCCGAGTGGGCTATAGTTGCATTCCAATTTCTCTAACCTTAGGAGCTTCTCGAGATGAGATTTCTAAGATGTTAGGCATCTTCATTCTAAATTCCTAATGGTGGAGGAGCCATTATTCATGAACTGGCATTTGTATTCAAATGATGTCAACAAAATGTGGTACGTTTAGTAATTACCAAAAAAATAACCTTTAATTTCTCAACTCCTCAATTATTGGTTTGTTTCTTTAACTTTGATATGGAATGACAAAATTCTTATAATTCAATGAATGAAAAAAATTACAAGGATTATAAATTATTTTGAGCAAAAATCTTAGCGGAACTATAACTTGTTCGAAGTAAAAAAAAATTATAAAAGAGAGACAATTTAAAATTCTATTTTTCCTCATACTCATGTGGCTCATATTTTATAAAAATATGAATTTTAAATTTTGTTGCTAATAATGCAGTCTACTTAATAAGTATTCTCTCGGCCTCTATTATAAAATGCTTTCAATTATTTCACTAAAATCAATGAATGATAGTTAACTTATTAAATATGTTTTAAAATAAAAAAAATTCTCTAACTTCATCCTTATTAAAATAGAAAGAGAGATACACAATATATAATAAGTCATAAAATTAAATTTACAACATAGCTAAAATTGAAAAATAATAATAAATAATTTTTCATGTACCTTATATTAAGGACAAAAGAAAATCTTTTTATAAAGTACCCATAATAAAGACAAGAAGAACTAAGTGACATATACTCTGCTCACTATAATAATATGGGGTTTAAATTTCACTACTAACATGAAAATTGTCATTAAATATGGGGTTTAAATTTCACTACCGATGTAATGTTTAAAGTACCCTATAATAATATGGGATTTAAATTTCACTGCCAATGTAAAAATTGTCATTAAATAATAAATAAGTGTTGTTTGAGCTGCGGAGCTTGTTATGATATTAGCCTTATCCTAACATACTTTAATTTTATTCTTTTTTTTAAAAGGTCATTCAGATCGCTATCATCATCATCATTATTAAAAATATGAAAGAAGTATAATTTAATAATTAAATGCATAATGAACCTAACAAATATGGCCAATGGACCACCA